GGCCTCACCAGGGCCGAGTACAGGGGCATGATCACCTCCCTACTCCTGCTGGCCACACTAGTTCTGATACAGGCCAGGATGCCGTTGGCCTTCTTGGCCACCTGGGCACACTGCCGGCTCATGTAGCATACATTGCACAAAAATAGGTACTTATGTTTATGAGTTTCACAGATTGCATGGTAGCTTAAACTGCTGGCAAAGCCAGGTTTGCCCTGGTACGCTGAACCGGAGCAGCCACGGTGCTGGCACAAGCCCCATCCTGTACTGCTGCCCTGGAGGTGGTAGTCCTCAGCGGAGCAGTAGATGGGCAGCTGAGTCTGTAATGCTTTAAATCACAAAGTTAGCTTTACCAGAGGACTCCTGCCTGAGCCCTGAGTGCTCTCACTTAAGGTCAGCTAATCTCAAACATCAAGTCAGGGTGAGTTTCTAACGGCACGGTACAAAAAGAGCAGCAAGTTTTACTGTCACCATTGGCCCTGAATGCATGCTCTACAGCTGCCTTATATCCTTCAACATCTCCAGCCTGTTGCTATTTAGTAACCAACGCTGCTTCTCATCTGTGCCAAAAGTATGAAGGAGCTACTGAATTCAAAACTAACAATTCACTTTTTTTTCCATTAGCTCAGCAGAGGTACCAGACACTTTTTTTATATCCAATCTGTACAGTGCTGAGCTCCCTCAAGTCTCGTTTTCATTGACAGAGGGGAGAAGTGTGTGAATAAACTCATGATATGTATGCTGTCATGCAAAACTAGCTTCAAGAGTTCCCACTTCTCCTTGCCATAAAAGGGTGGGTTTCAACCCAGAACATTTCAGCCATGCTCTTGGCACAGCTCTGCCACTGTGGGATCTGTGAGCTACAGACTGGGAAGGGGGCAAGCAACTGGTCTTTAGTGGGCTTCCCTCTGAATGTCCCGCCGACACACTGCAAATTTATACCCTTCGTACAATGTCAGCCCAAGGAAGGGGTGGCGTCTAGTTCTCAGGACATAAGCAGTACAATTAAATTAACTTACATTTTAGGTTATTGCTAGACCTAGGGCGAATTCGCCCTAAAGATCCAGGCAGCAAAATTATATCTTCCACATTAGTCAGATAGTTGCTTAAAAATTCAGTTCTTTCACAAGTAGTGTCTTCCATCCCTGCAGAAGGAAAATGCAAAATTAATCCAGCTTGAAAATAAACATGTTTTCCAAAACAACACAGAAAGAGACCCCAAACAGCTTATGTATTCTTTTCTTTTAGATGACTAATCTTATTCTTGTTCTTTCCAGTCATCTAATTCTAACATCAGACACTGGTAGGAGCCAAACTAGGGATGATTTTAGCACTTGCCTACACAAGAGAAATGCCAGTCTCAACGTCGTAGAAACAGTCACCACATACACCATGTGTGCACTGACACATCTCCAAACTAAGCTCATGGAAAAATCAAGGTCTGTTTCTAGTTTAGTGTACTACTTTGGGATTTTTTTTTTTTTAAACAAAGGCTTTTAAGAGAAGTTGCACACAAAAGGTATTGTCTGTTGGTGGTCTGTTCTAAGGCAGCCGCAGATAAACAATTCTCTCCTACAGACGTTTGTGTCAGGGAGGAATGTATTGACAGTCACAGGCAGTTCTCAGGACAAAACTGCCTCCCCTGGAAACCCTTCCTGCCCCTTACTCTTCTCTCCCCACAGCCAGAGAGGAGGCATGTTCCATTTTATAGCTAATGTAGCAGTTCTTGTGAGACTTTCATGAACAAAGATCTAAACAGAACAGGACCTTTGGTAGCATCGCTAAAAAGTTATGCAAAAACAGGTTTATCTCAAACATGGTCACATTTTCCTTCAGTAAAATTTCTCTTTCTTTTTGTCTTTGCTAGTATTTATTATTTCTTCTATTGTAAAGTTTCTTCTGATGTCTGAAAGAATGAGACCTACCAAATAGTATCTCTGCTTTTGGGTGACTCTCCATCTGACCCTGAAATATCTTTATACCATTTTCCTCCTTCCTCTATTCTTTTGATGACATTTTCCATCCAAGCTGGACACAGCCCCTTATAGATATTCCACTCTTTCTCCTAGTAGGATAACTTGACCCACTAATTGCCATGGAAATGTCTCACTCTAAAGTCGTACTCCTCTCTTCATGAAAAGGAGAACAGTGCTACTAAATTGTTTCCTTCCATAAAAACTGCCAAAAAGATTACTCTAGGCACATTATAGCCTTCCAATGTATGCAAGGAGAGATGCACTTGGATGTGATATCAAAAATGCCAAGCTTTGAAAAACTCTAAGTAGAGATGTAAATACCCAGATTGCTGTTGTGAAAGATAATTGTCCTCCAATGACAATTAACAGGTGAGCTGAGTGGCCAGTCTACACCGACTGGTTGGTTTTGGGGATTTAAACTACCAGAAAAAATTATCACAAAAATATCTTAAATGGAACTTTCATTTAAGCCACTATTATATGTACAGCTACATTGCTTAAACATTTATATACTGATAAAGAATATTGTTTATTTTACCATGATCACCAACGAAGATGACATTGACACATCGATGTAGTTTCAACTGTTTCAGCCCATCCATTAGTTGTCCTACTGTCTTGTCAATCTCTCTCAGGGGATTCACCATCATCTGTATAAATATGCAGAAAGGAAAAAAGTTAATTCTGTTATTGCAGTGTTCCCCCTTGTTCTACAAATGGAGGTCCTTTGGCAAAACTCTGATAGGATAACCATCCAGGTCAAGAGGCAAAGCCTTGGCTGAGCTGTTAAACCTACAATTATCGTACCATTTCCTTTCCTATATCCACACTGTGATTTCATCATGAAAAAGCCCTGCTGAGATGCTGACACAAGACAGCAAAAGATCTTTATAGTTGATCCCAGGCCTCCCATGGACATGTGTACATTTGGTAAAACAAAGTACAGATATTAGAAAAACACATGTGACTTTGGGGTTCGATTTGTTTCTTATAGACAAATAGCAGTACTTTTAAAAGGTTATTTTATGTGAATGGTTTAGTCAAAACATGAACATGAAATGAAGCTTTGGACTTGGGATTCATATGCCAAATCACTTAATGAAATTCACTTCAAAGGACATCTGATACTAGGATGACAACATGCAAGTCACTTGAGTAGCACATGGGGCTCAGAGGGAGCATTCTTCAGCTTCAAAGCCAAGAGTTTCCAACATCTCAAATGACAGTTTTGGCAAAATTGTCAGCAGGCCCTGTGATTTCTTCATTTAAGTTTCCTTTTTATTAAGAAACACAACAGAAGACACCAAGACATGTTCACAGGATTGTGTTTTCAGCTATAAGAAAATGAAACGTTCTTTTTTACCAGATGGCACAGAGAAGGGAAACGTTTTAAAGTAAGATTTTAGGCAGAGGTTCTGGTTTTGAGAAGAAAACATTTCTTGTCACTATATGCCAACTTCCTCCTCACTTGTCTGTTTGATTTGGCTGGTCCAAGCATCCGCAACAAAACATCCTCCCAGTGACAAACAGAATGCTAACAAACTTTGGATGAGAAAAATCTAGATTTTGGCAGAATTTTCTGAGAAGAAAAAATAAACACCATGTTAGTGTGACCCAGAAAGAGACAGTTCAGAAATTCTCCCTCTGCCTGAGTCATTAAGGGATAGATGTTAAACGAGTCTGATAGGTTATAAGATGAGACAGGAAATGTCATCTCCCATGTGGCACTATAAATACACAGAGAAGTGGCTCATGAAAGATGGAATCACGGTGGGGAACAGGAGGAACAGTTTCTGCAACATATGGAAGTGGTTCAGACAAAGGGTGAAATTTTGAAATATTTTCATTCAGGAAAGCCTAAGTAGTCAGTTTAGGTAAAACTTCGAAACATTTTGATTTAATAAAAAAAGAAAGTATTATCTGTTTCAGCATTCTTCCACTCTCAAATACAAAGAATTTCTTCAATGAATGGGAATTCCATTTTTATGAAACTCTATTTTTATAACATCAATCATATAGGGAAATACAACTTTTACTTAGAATCCAAAGCTTATTCAAGGAAGCTGGAAATCCAGAGGGATTTCCCCTTAATGTTTACTTTTGTCAGCAGGCTTGAGGCTTCTTTTAAAAAAAAAAAAAAAAAAAAGCAACAATACTTCCAGCGATTTCAAGGATTCATGAGTGATGGTAATTTTGTTTAGCTACCCTCTTCACCAATTTAATCTGTAAACCTGCAGGGACATTTCTGAAACTGTAAGAAAGTAAATATAAATGAAAAATTCTGTTTTTAAAGGAAACAAAAAACTCACACAGAAAACCACAGAAAAACCCCTTCAACTTTGCAGTTTTCAAAGCAGCTTACTTGTGTTCAAAGCAGCTGTTAGAAAGGCCCTCACCAATATTTCTTCATCATTGCATTCTGTCTCTGTTCAGTTTTTAAATTCAGCTATCTTTTATTATTCTATATGACACTCAAGTTTTTCTCCAAATGGTCTCTGCAGTCTAAGCCTGGCTGTAGGTGGCATATTCAGGCAAGGATTTTTTGTATGGACATGCTGCTCTTACAGCTCATGTCCTTTCTCAGATGTTTCCGAAGAGTTATTGGTAAACAAATAAAACTCTTGCATATATCTTTCTTCACCTAATATATTGATATCAAGACTTTAGAAGGCTGTACAGAAACATTTTATCTTTCAAGATATCTCTAAGATGGTGCTACAATAAAGAGTTGGTACTATTGGGTATGGAATCTGAGACATACAGACCACAATTGGATTCTCTCCTGAGTTTTCCCTTAGAAGAAGCTTGATTAGAGGGAAGAAAGAATTTCACTTTATCCTTTTTTTTTTTTTAAAATTGGTAGGATCCAGCCTGTACTATATTCCATTGCTCTCAAACAGCCCCAAAAGATTAACTTGCAGATATGATGGGACCTATTGTGTAATATCAGGATGTTTTTTTCTGAAATAATAGCAATAAATTTTCACAGTTGACTTATCAGGAAAAGTTCTTCAGGGATAAGTTTGGATGACCTTTTCATCCAGAGAAAGAAAGCAAAAAAAAAGAGGGAGTCACATATGCTCACATCAGTAGGAATGTTATAAGCTATCTACTACACTTCATGCCAGAAGGGTATAACTTGGAATGGCAAATTAATGAGTAGTAGCAGTATCATCCATAGCAGTTATCAGTTCTCCTCTCAGGTAAATCTGTGTTAAAAGTTCTCTGGAAAAGTCTTATACGTGATAATTTTTTGCATGTCCCTGTGTGCCATGTCTTTACACTTAAAGAATCAGTCTTAAAATAACTGGTTTAAGTTGAATCATGCAAGAAGTCAAAAAACACCCCCACAAAAAAGCTATTGAGAAGAGTGTTTATAGCCTCTTGTAGGATACAATGGAGTGTCAAGGCTTTTGTTTAAAGCCTAAAGAAGAAATATTTAGGTTGTTTATTTGAAGAGTTTTTGAATTATTCAGTTAAATTTCTGAAATGAAAGTAATACTGGTCTATAACCCCTCCCCTTAGTTAGTGCCAGGTGGAGAAAGACAGTACACTAAGGAATACCGTTTTCCTCCACTTTCACCTTTTCCTAGTAAAGCAATTTCTATTTGATCTTTTTTTCTTGTGAAAACAGACTGCACCACTTCTAGTGCAAATACAGCATTCAGAAATCATGTAATCAAGAATCCTCTACCCTCCAAAGTCACAAATTGGCTTTAAAATATATTTTTTTTTTACAACAACTTTTAAAAGTTCTTTCCCTTTTAGATTTTATGAGTCACATTTTCAGGACTTTTCCACAACCACAATGACTAGACACAGAATCTCAAATAACCACCAGGCTCCCAAGAGCTGAGGCGTTAAGGAGGCTACAACATATTGCAGAATTTGTAATAGCTCAGAAGGGTTAGCAACACTGGTAGTGTCTTCCCAGGGATTTATCTGACATTGCCTCCAGCTGATGGCTGGATTTAAAAGTATAAAAAGATTATAAAGATGACTTTCCCTAACGCAAACAGAGTCTGAAACAAGAAAAACATAGCTCCCAGAAGGCTTGGTCTGGTTTGGCTGCTTTCCTTTGGGTCCTTCAGTACATTTATAGAAGTTTTGTCTGCAAAATCCCAACCTGAAGCATGGAGTGAACTCCCAAGTTCAAAAAAATAAAGCTAGAGTAGTGCCTAAAAATTGGCACTTCCATCATAAAATTTTGGAACATATGTAAACTTACTTTCTTCCGACGAGCTTCCGCAGCATATTGATCCACTCTATGTACTTTTCTTCTTCTTTTCTTTGGAGCTGCAACTGGTCTTTCCTGTCTCCTCTTAGGAGGAAGCTTTCTCTTAGGTCTCTTGGGCGGAGTAAGAGGGGAGCCATAACTACTCTCCTGTACTGGCGGGGAGAGATGTCTGGACTCAGAAAAAAAGCCTCTCTCAACTCACATCAGATAGTAAAGCTACCTGTGCCAGCTAACTCTGAAGCACAAATATTGTGGCCTTTTCAAAAATCTAGGCATTTGGACAATTTAGGTTCTGTCTATCTTTAAGGAGGAATCCACCAAATTGTACTGAAAGCAGAACAGCAGTTACGAGAGCGTACAGCATAAAAGCAAATTAATTTGGTGTTTCAGAAGATAGGTGGGGTTTCTGGTTTTGAAAATGTATAGTTGTGTGGGGTTTTTTGTTGATCAAATATTAATCCATTATTATTATAAAAATTTAAGTAAATTTAATTTCAATTTACGTAAAATTCATTGCATACAATTTAATATTGTCTGGGGTAGAGTGCTGGTGGAAGCGCAACATTTCACTTGGATGATGGTTTAGATATGAGTACGAGAGCCTGTCCAGTCCAAATGGCTTTCTGCAAGGTTTCCCACACCCACTTTTTGGCTGAATCAGTGACACTAGGTACCCTCACCAGTATCATTGGCAGGTGCCACCATTGTGTGCCATGCCATGCACCCTACTGAAATGACCAGAACCCCACTAGCCACTATTTAGGGTCTGCAGGTGAGACTCAGTTAGCATGGAGCTTGTATCCTTCAAATCAGCTAGGCAGGGCATATTTATTAGTGGCAGCACATCAGAAAGCTGCACTGCTACCTGCCTTATTACCAGCTTTACGGGCAATTTGAGAATTTAATTTCCTAGCACTTTCAGTATGGCATCTTATTGGGTAATATTATTGTTCATAAATGCACAAATACTACCTGGGATAGGCTTAGAGAAGGGAAAAAAAAATTTTAAGACATAACTGGAAAAACTACTATCTCACTAATCAACCTGCTCATAATTTTAAACTGTACCACTCTCACTGACTTTAACACAAGTTGAAGGCTCTTGGCACCCCTCGGGATTCTGTGTGAAGTGCTGATAGATGACACCTACTGGGAGATAGTAACTAAGATATGCTGTGTATAACAGAGCACGCTGAGTGGACTTGAGAAGAGTCAGAGATTTATGATGATATTTAACTTCTATATACTTAGGCAGCTTCTCACAGCTGTTCAGTTACAGAGCTATGTAAACAGGGAAGGGAAGGAAGGGGATGTTACCATCTGCCATGCTGTTTCATTGCTTCCAAGGCAAGCAGCTGGAAAGGAGATTCTAGTCCAGTCTCATTCGTCTCTCTCCAGAAAGGCATTTTAATAAAGCAGCACCAGAGTTTTCTGTTTTTAAAACGCTTCAAGCTTTGTGCAGTCCTGATGAGAGGAGCGGCAGGGAAAGGAAGGATTCTTGTTTTACTGTCTCTGAATCGGCTCAGACAGAGCTCCACAATGCAAGAAACACGCGAGCGCAGGAGACCCAGGTCTGAACACTGAAAATGGCCGTCTCAAGACAGCATGTTAGAGGAGCAGCAGGAACGGCTTAGCAGTGCCAGATTTCGATGTGTTTTAGAGCTCTTATGGTAGCATATTTCTAGAATTATTATTTTTTAAAAAAAAAAAAGATAGCTTGGACAAAAAAAAAAAAAAGCCAAGTTCTTATTAACCAGCCATATCTTAGTCTTGCTTGGGAAGGGTCAGAATAGAGTTATGAAGGAGGGAAATGAATCCCTCCCCGCCTACAGAAGGGAACTGTAACATCACAAGGGTAACTAGCCAGCCAAAGCTCTGCTTCTTGACCCGGACGGACCAACCTACCAGAGTTCAACTGCAGAAGCACAGAGGGAAATAAAAAATATATGCAGAAGTAAATCAAGAGCAAGCACATATTTGATAACTCCCATAACTACTCCTGGAAATGTAATGGAACTCACTAAAACACTTCCTAAGAAATTTATTCATGTCCCACAAGAAAAACCAAAACCAAAGCCAAAAAAAAAAACCCCAAAACCTAGACCACCAACTTATTTGCACTGAAATTCATAATGTTAGAGGACATGCAAAGTTACATTAGTGGACACTGGCCACAATCTGTATTCCATTTATATCAACAACACTGGCAATTCACCAATAAAGTTTAAGCGCATCTAAGTCCCATTATTTCTAGCTTTTAAGACACTCTGCACATAGGCTGTTGTGCATGTCTTGTGAAGCTCTCAGTGCCATCTGCTGAAGTATAGAAGCTGAAAATTATCAGTCATGGACACCATTAGACCTTAAAGGCAATACATTTAAAATACATTTAGAACACTGGCATAAGAAGTGCTAGTAAACACCCACTTTACTCTAATGGACATTTGTAGGCTGCGGAGGTTTTCAAGGTGTATTCCTCAAGCTACAAAATACAGCAAGAAAAACTCAGCATAAAATCTTCACTCTTCAAAAGAAGAAATAAGCAGCCCATCTTAGATATAACACAGGATTGTTAAGAGTTTGTTTTCAAACATTATTGTTTGGCTGATCTGCTTTTGCATGAAGAAAAATGAAGCGGTCAGAACTACTCCAACTGTCTAACTGCTGCCAGCTGTATACAAGAAAAGAATGATTTCACGAGGAGGTCATGCTCTCGGTATCAAGGGAGCAGCTGAAAGGGATCCCTTTGAGGACTTTCTTCCCAGCTGATTTGTGCAAATTTCATAGCTCCTAAAAATTATATTGAAAACAGTGTCAAGAGAAACAATATAAACTACTTCCTAGCTTTTCTATCCTGAAACCAGGCCCCTAGCAAATCTCAGCATCTGTATACTTAAACAGCTGTATCCATTTATTCAAATTTCCATTGACAAAGTTATAGCCACTGTTTGAACTGCAAACCCACACATGCTCATCTGCTAACTCGTCTGTTCTCCATTTGCTAAAAATCAATTTCATGCTCTTCTTGTGTTTAACACAAATGGCATAAATCAATTTATTTGTAAAACTTTCATAAGCTATTAATTCACACTTATTAAGAGCCTAAGTTTTGCCTTGCAATTAGAGGTCAACCTTCAGATAACCATCCAAAAGAACCCCCAAACAATAAAAGCCTTTGGGGGCTTTTTGCTTTTGTAACGACTTTTCCTATGATGATACAATTACACTTCACTATTTAGACACTTATAATTAACTTGAAACTAGATTACCACATTGGATGCTAAACTGGTTTGTTAAAGACTAAAATTTAAAGAACAAATCCAATGTCATCATCTTCATATTCTCCTTTGAGTCCATGGAAAGAGCCCCACAACTCTGTTCAGAAGGAAGTGGTTCTCTACAGATAAATAAAATTAGAATCGTCAGTCATAAGCCACACATAATATTTGTAACACGCCAGTAAGAGGAACTATAAAGCATCATTGAGCAATATATCCTTGAATCGGAGAGCTCTCATTACCGATACCTTGCTTGACTGAGTCAGATATCTCCCCTGTTCTGAGCCAAATGACAACATGGAGACGTATCAATGCCTGTCAATTTAGCAAGTGTTGGCAGATTTTAACCACTGCTTATCCAGAAAAAGGACTACTTCTTCCTATCCAGTATGATGTTTCAGTGCTGGTTTGGAATAATTCCTCACACCCACTGCTTTGGGACCATGGCTCAAACTGCTCCAACAGGGGTGCTACCCACAGCAAGTGCATAACCGCTGCAAACTTATTTAAACCACGCAAATAACTCAAGCATATTAAAAAAGATTAATGCTGCTTCTCTTTGCTCTCTCCTCCACTAGAGAACAACTGTCAGATGTATACCAAACAAGTGAGAAACTACTGCTGGGTACCTGGTTGCTTGGGGAGATTTGTATTACCTTCCACTCCTCAGTTTTTGAAGATTTGCAAACGTTTGTTTACTCTTTAAAAAGCGTGTATAAAAACTCCTACAGTCTTGTGATGGCAATGCAGGTATACATTTGCACTGAAATAGGGGACCTTTGCCAGATGTCAGAGATCATCGGAGATGCCAGAGATCATCAGAGGTGCCAGATCTCAGCCATGTGAAGTAGTAGCATATTTGGGTGCAGAATTTACTTGCCCTCCCACAAATTCCAGACAAGTGCATAGTCTTTAAATTCTTGTCACCAGGACAGTGTTGGCAGGGAAGCAGTATTCATCAGTCCCAGCCAGCTACCCAAAGCTCAAACAAGGGGTTAACTACTGTAGTGTTTTGCACATAATTTTTCATTAAAATACCTTACGGTGCTTCAAAACTTTTTCCAAACTCAGCAGTCTGGTCCTGAGGGAACAGTGCTGGCAAAGCTTTCTGAACCCCTGTAGGGCCTATATGAAACTGGAAATAGCAGCTTTTTACAGCTCATGACAGACCGGAATTATTACTTTAGCTACTGCAGGCCGTCAGCTTTAAAGAAAGCTTTTTCTTCTCTGCATTTTTCCTCAATATTTTCTGCATTATATTTTTATTACTTTTAAGAAGGACAAATAGTTTGAGGAAAGTTAAATTATGCTGTTGCACCCAAATATACTCCTGTCTTTGCCAAATAAATCTTTCCATTTGCATTATCATATCACACAGAGAAATAGCCTCCTGAAAGGCACGGGCAGTTCCTTCTCTCAGAAGTGAATCTCACATGATAAATCCTTAAGACAATAACTTTGCTTTCTCTGGCAGTGGGGAAGCATTCTGCAGAAACGGGTGAAAAAAAGTTGCTAAAAATGTTACTCCTGAGCAGTGGCAATTATTCAAAAAACATATTTGAGCCTTGTGCTTTTTCTGCAGAAGAAAATCTATACTAACCTCTGAGTTGAAAGGACCATATCTGTGGCCAGCAGCATCTGGTTGTTCAGAGTAGAAAGCGTAAACATAAGGTCTGAAAGAAAGAAATGTCTTGTTCAAGATAGCTTTCCTTTGACAACAACAAAAAACCCCAGACCTGTTAGGTCAAGTCAAATCAAGTCAACTTTCCAATGAGAGTCGGCTTTATGGAAAAAGAACTGTTTCTCAGTGATGTTTCCATGGTATGATTAAGCAATTAGTTGTTCTACAGTTTTATTAAATCCAAGAACACATGCAGGGAGGCACATGGGGTACCATCTGAGGACACACGCTCTTTCTAAGTCTTGTAGGAGAGATCACAACAGCAGCTTGCCTAAGCTTTGCAGGCAGCAGCATGTGGGAACTTGTGTACTAAAAGATACTCATAATTAAAATCTTAACATTTTCCCAGTCCTCAGAGTCCAGTTCTGCAACTGCCATTGCCTGTAAGATTGTTAAACCATATTAGACTCAGTAGGATAAGAACAATCCAAGTTAATCCATGTAACTAAATGCTTCTTGATAAGAAATACATTCATACCATACATTTATTGAGAAGAATCAAAATGCTTATGGTTAAAAGCTGAGATTAAAAAAAAAAAAAAAAACAACAAAACAAAACAAAAAACCCAAAAAACCCGAGCCCAAACCCCCAACAAATACTTAAATCAGTGATAGCGTGTAACAGACAAAAGTAATTTTTAGAATTAAATTTCCCCTCACTCTTCCAGCTACTTTTAGGGAGAAGACAAGCTAGCAGTTATCCAACAGCAGATGACAATAAGTGAATTACCTTTCATTGTCTGGAAGTGTTAGCCACTGCAGTATTGTTAATATTCTGCGCTCATGGGGGATGACACTGGACCACAAAATACAAAAATACATCTTGTTACCATAGAATACAAAAAGCATCAACAAAGCCTTGCTATGAACTGATTCTAACATGATTAAAATCAATCTTAATAACATCGTTTTCTTTTACTATGCTGTATCTTCTTTCTTGCTTGATAATGATTCTTATTTTGCAAACAGAATCACTTCAGAACTCCTGGATGTCCACATACTCCGAAAGAAAGATGATTATAAGTTTCTAACTGGAGTCAGAACTCAAGGCAGTAAATCTAACTGTTCTAAATAGGAGTGAATAAAGATCCATTCTGGTAGTTTTAACCCAGATGAACCATTTTTATGCACAATGGTGCTACCTTTGGATGGCTGGTATGAGTAAAAACCATTAAATGGCTCACATCAGTATGGGTTTAAACGACCATCCTGCTCTGGCAGTCCTGAAGACACTGGAAAAGTTCCCATTGACTTAGTAGTAACCAAACTGAGGGCTAGGCTGGTGTAAATCAAAACAGAGACATCTGAAACGCCAGGCCATCAGTATGGTGATTTACACAACTTTGACAGCTTCTCCCTCTGCAGAACAGACTCATCCTATGTTCGTATCCTGAGACTTCTCACTTGGCTGCTGAGGCCAAGTTGATGCTATGAGAATGACTAACCTTATAAATAGCTGTTAAACTTCCAAGTATTTAATCTTAGGAAAGCTCTCCAGGTCAGTGACCACGCAGTTATTTTAATACAATAGCATAGTCAGTCCAGATTCCATTAGATCAATAGCAGAATCCCAGCGCAGGAATAATATACAACTGTCTTGGATTCACCATGCTGAATTGAATTCAGCACTCTTTGGAAACATCTGACAGAGAAATAGAGATGCCAACAGCCGTTTTGAAATAAGTTTAGTTTTAATGCTTTGTAGAACAGTGGTCCTCAGTCTCCAACTACACAGAAAACTTTCAGTTGTAAAACAACTATAAAAATGAGAATTTACACTAAAATTTGCAAACAAGGCAATATTATAAAGTGGAATAATAATCTTGGGTATGGCCCAGTTTTCAAACTTTTATTAATTGTGCAATATGAAAAAAAATCCGTTATTTCAATTAAGTCATTTGTGACTAAGATGTTTTCAACACTTCTGTTTTCCTAAAAGAGTTTGCCTGAATTCTCCCAAAAAAAACATTCTGTGACCCAAATTAAATAATATAGGTTAAAGGCATATATATTTCATTCATATATAAAGTGGCAGTCTCACTCCCTTACTTTCATATGACATATCCTTGGTTACTTTCCATAACATTTTATATCCCCAAGCATGCATTGGCCAGGGTGTTTAAGGTGACTATGTAGTGCTTAGGAATGTGCTATGTAGGGCTTAGGAATCACATTAATTTGTTTTGTAGAGCACCAGGCTGGAGCACTGTCAGATAACCGTCTTGCAAGCCTAAACCTATCATCAGCTTTGTACGTGGTACCTTTTATTATTCCCTCCATATGCTATATAATATTTAAAGTAGCAAAGAGCATTATTTCTGATGAAATCACAAAAAAAATAGTCAAACTCTCATTGACAGTTTGCCTATTTTCTTTGCTCCTGCAATCCTGCCACTAAAATGAAATAGAGAGATTGATCCACATGAATTCCTCCAAACTCAGAAACTATCGAAATTCATTCATTTTCAGTTAGGAAGATACGTCTTAGTAGCAACAAGAGAAACTAATTTGGAACCAAACAAAAGAATAAACAGCAAAGATCCTCAAGGCTGTCTTTTAGGAAAGGGAAATTGAATATCTTACTCAAAGGTCAGACTGGATTCTAAAATGAGTGAGTCAGTTAGGCTTTTGAGCAAGTTAGGCTGTTGATGTCAGATGACATAAGAGGACAATAAAAGTGTCTTCCACAAACACTCAGAGGACTAGGAAACATTGTTAGCAATACTAAGGAGGCAAAACAACACACTGTGAAATGAAAGAAAGTGATTTTTTTACATAGTCACACATCTTTTCTTCAGACAACTGCTAAAAATCTGTGTATGAACTTAAAGCAGCAACCTGTAGCATTAGCTTTTGTTATCAGAAACATTGCACATATGAAACAAGGGAGGGTTACAGGTACGGTCTCCAAGCTACCGAATGCTTGGAGTAAGGAAAATAACTTAATAAACACTTGTATCAAATTAATTCTGAATTATTAGTTACAAATCTCCAGAAAACAGAGCGCACTTACACAGACCAGAAAAACGTGCCAGCTTTCACCCCTTGCTTGGCTGCAGTAATCCAAATCTAATGAGGAAAATATAAGAGGATTAGAATGTGTTCAGATCTTTAATGACCCTCTGAAATCAAAAGAAAATGTTTTCAAGACACATTCTTCTACCCTGAGCCTAGAAGTGAAAATTGCAGTCTTCAGCCTGCATCTCTGTTTCGAACATGTGGAGTGAAAAACCTATGCAAATTCTGTAGCAGTGGATCAGCTGCTGTGCTGTAGACTTTCACCCCTAAATCTCTGTGTTGCTTTTAATGAAAAGCATTAAGATTCATGGCCAGAAATTTCTCCAGTATTCCACTTAACTTTCAAACACCAGCCATTAGTCACCTGAGCCTTTTAGTATTCAAATTTTGGAGGATACTCCGTTAGGAAAGAATACAGCTTAACACTAATCAGTGTCTGCATAAGTGTCCCTCCTTCCCCATATTCTACCATCAGTAGCCATCCACAGAAAATGTGTTAGGAAGGAGTAACCAAAAAAGGGTGCAGATGAGTGAGCAGGGGTATAAAGAGAGCAGGGAGGGGACACCTTCCTCCGTAGATGCTTAAGAACTTTTTGAGCTCACCTGAAGTGATTGATGGCAACGATGGAAACAATCTGCATGAATTTTTCAAATCTTTTTTTAAGCCTTCAGATCCCATATATTTTTCTGGCTATAAATCACTTTGTAGCAGCAAGTTCCACAATGCAGTCACACACTGCATGAGTGTATTTTTCTTTTTGTTTGGTTTAAACCTGCCAGTTCCACTACAAGTCATGCCTCTCCCAGGCTAACATTAGTCTACACTGTCAGTCGATGTAGGACAGGAAAAAAGAAGCTAGCTGATGCTCTCTCAACCTTGTCCATCCAAAACAATTAAAATTAAGAAGGGAATAAGGGTTATTGTTCCATTTCCTCTCTGTTGGTTAGAGTCACAGTCTTAAAGTTAATTAATCCTAGATGTTCCAGTACTGAGCGTGTAAATGCAATGCGTTATATACACTCTATGGCTGGTCACATCTGTTCAGGTCACTTATCATAAAGTTTGCTGTGTTAGGTGTTGCAAGGTCAGTACCATTTGTGAGCTTATGTAATTTATTTTCCATATGTAAACACGTTGGTTTTAACTGTTAATACCTTAGAATTTCATAGTCAGCCGTTTAATTATGTCAGATGTGCACCCCTGGTTTGCATATGGGACAAGCCTTACTGTATTGCAAGCTATTTAAAGGCCATATTTCTGAATTAATTTGCTTAAGCAGAGAGGAGGGGAATAAATATTAAAAAAAAAAAACAACAACACTTAAAGATTAACCACTCTCTCTTCACACCATACCACAGGAATTAGAGAATATCTAACTTTTCCAAAGCAGAAAGACCTGTTAAATTATGGACACACAGATTCAATCCTGATACAGTGGCAAATGTCCCAAGAAAGAATATAGAATCATAGAATCATTAAGGT